GTCTCTTCTCTCCCTTTCTTTCCTTTACATTATCAGTGGAACAAAATTTAACTTTCCTAATAGGCACATTTTACAATCAAACCTAGTATACTATCTTTTAGGGTAATTAGAAACATTTCTGTTTGACCTAAATAATAGCAGTCAACCAGAATTATTACTGATGTGATTGGAATGGCACAGGACACAAGCTTATAAATACTGTAGTGCACTGAAATGCAGGTCAGATTTCTTTTTAGAATAGTCCTTTTGCCTTTTCTCCTTATAATTAACCTAGAAGAAACATTTTTGCTTTTGCTGAGTAGAAGTTCAAATCTAATATTTTAGAATAACTTCAATATTAGTTTCACTATTAAAGTGGCAATAACATAGACTCAACCTTGAGTCTTTTATTTTCTGAATATGTTTTAATAAATATAATTATATGCTTCCATTTTAAGAGAGGCTTATTCTGAACTTCTAAAGTGCTCTGTTAACCTGTTTTTGGAGTACAGCCCTGCTTGATTAAATTTTTAGTGCTTGTATTTGGCACAGTGTAATTTTGGGCAGCATTAAGAAACTAAGTTCAACTTTCTGAATGCAAAGAAAACAAAGAGCAACAATTAGCTCTGTCTTTTAACGTTTCTTTTGATGACTGGATTCTGATTTAAATCCATATGTGTTATTTTTTCTGGTTGCCTTGTTTTCTAATGATCAGTGAGTGCTTTTTAAAAATAATTTTTTCCCTCTCTTCCCTTCCCCTCCTACTGTGATGGAAGGCATTTGATTAGGACAGTATTGTACTGTTCTCTGCTTCTCTCCCTAAGGACAAAACAAGAGTGCTATGTCAGCACGTGAAACTGAACGGATGCCGAATAGAATAAACTAAGAGGGCCTGAGCTTAATTTTGGGGTATAGATGATTAGGGCCTGAAGGGACCCTAGATACCACCTCACTTGTCTACTCCTTCCCCTGGTGAATTTCACAGGGACTACAGCAGGGTGGCTTTAGAATGAGAGAGCTCCAGGGATAGGGCTGGGATTTCAGTGACCTTGTTCTGCACAATATGGATAATAGCTTATATTTATTCATTGTTTTAGATTATTTGTACATTGGATATTGAAGGAGTCAAGAACTTCTCATGTGTTGATGAATAGTGTGTCATCTTGATGTATAAACTAATATGTAGTACTTCAGATGTCTCCCTCCTAACTGGGCCCATAGTACTTTGGGTTTTGTGTTTACAGTGTTCAGTAAAACATGAATTGGTTGAATATTTTCCTCCAACTTTGTAAAGAAATGTGTCTTTAAAAATAATTTAAAGGATATTTTCCTTTTAATTTTTTCCCTTGAGAGTATAGATTTGAGTTCAAATCTAGGTTCTGCCCCTTACTCTAATTAAACTAACCTCTCTGAGCCTTGATTTCTTCATCTGTAAAATGATTATCATAATTATTTAACTATTCCTCAAGAGTTATTATCAGGATTAACATTATCGTGACATTGAGTATAAAGTGCTCATCACAATGCCTGTCGAAGGGGATAGAGTACTCGGTAAATGTTTGCTGTTAATATGACCTCACAGAAACCAAGACTGGAGCTATTGTGGTAATTTAAAATTCTTTAAGGGAGAACTCTTGTTTGTTTGTTTGAAGAGACAGTGTCTTGCTATGTTGCCCAAGCTGGCCTCCAACTCCTGGGCTCGAGATCCTCCTGCCTTAGCCTCTTGAGTAGCTGGGACTATAGCCTGTGCCACTGCTCCCAGCATTGAGAGAAAACTCTTAGGAGAGAAATGTTCTTTCTTAGATAACGCTAAGTTATAAAACTTCACAATACAATAAACACATTGAATCTTTGCACAGACCTTTACTCAAAGAACCTCAGTTTACTCTGTTATTGACCTGCAAATTTCAAGGACTTTAAAAATTCTCTTTACTGTATGAAATGCTTGAATGTGTTACTATACATTTTGTGGGTGAGTTTATTTTTTCGAACTAAGGAAGATATTTGGCTTAGAAAGCTAAGGTGATATGAGTGCTAGTTGGAAAATAATGCAGTATGAATGCTTTTCTTGATGTCAAGCCTGGTAAGCAGTCAAATCTTGTCACTCTTCACTTAAAATACAAATACAGTTATTTACTTTTAGATTAGCTGAGAAACAGGAATATAGAATTCTGAGGAATTTTTTTTAGTGAATGGAAGTCTTAAGAGGTTTCATCTGGAAATTGCTTATTGTCTTTTGTTAGAGCTTTGGCCTTGAAATATTACATTTTACTTGCATCATCATTACTTGAGTAGATTGATAACAAAGCTGTGCATAGACTCCTTAATTGACCCAACTGTAAATTTGGCTGAGGTCATGATTTGAGTGGCACATAGAATTGAATAGAAAATCCTTGTCATCATTTTAAAATAATAAGAATTAGATGTTTTTATACCTCTGGAAGTTAAAAAATCAAATTAGGCACCATATGTGGTTCCTGAGTGCATGATCTCTTACCTTTCGTACTTAAAAAATTATGCTGGCTGCTTGGCTGAATAGGAGTTATTAAACTGGCAGTTGGCCTGAAATGTTCCTTAGGGAATCACTGAGTAATTTTAAGTATTCTTACTTGGGCCAGCGACACTGCATTCTGTAGAATGAGTTAAGGAGTGACCGTTTGCAAATGTGTTTTGGGTATATATTATATACCATCAAATCCACTTGTAGGAGTAGATAGTTAACTTGAGTTATGTTGGACAGCCTTGGCAATGAGAGGGACTTTAGTTAGATCTGCTAACCAATCATGCAGTCTGAGAGACAAGTGTGACTTACTCTCTTTATTTTCTTCACTAATAGAGCCAAGCCTGGTGCTTTTTGGGGTCAGATTTAATGTGGTTGTTGAACTTGAGTCTTTCTGTGCATCCTTTTTAGCAATGATTGGTGGGTTCATTGTGATTTAATATTCTTTTCAAAATTTGTACTTAACCTCTCACAGGGTTACTGTGCCAGTTCTTTTGTGGCAAAGCAGGATGAAATTTCTTTTTAGTTTCTGAAGGCTTGGTGATATTGTGGCCTAGAAAAGAAATTGCTAAACTTTATTTTTTGAGACTTCAAATGCTTTGATGCTTTGCAGTTAATTGCTGGGTTTTTCCTGAGACACTTGGGCCCAGTTCAGCAAATTGTATTGAGTACATATTATGTGCAAGCTCTTTGTGAATCATCATCCTCAAGAAGTATAGAGTCCAGTAGGGGCCTGCCTGCTGGAGACAAAAAATGATGGCATAATGTAACGAACACATGCAATGCAAGAGGCATGCACAAGGCATAGATACTTTATGGTATCTATGTATAAGAATACATAGTATAATAAGAATACTTATTCAGAGTGAGGCATGGGAATGGGTTTCATGGAGGAGATGAAATTGAGGATGCTTCAGATGGACACAGATGGGCTTTTTAGAAATTAGGTTTTTATTGTTGGAGGATATTCCAGGAAGAAGGAATGTTACAGAGGTGTGAAATGGCATGTAGTGGATAGTTTGGCATTGCTGGAATACACACTGCAGTACTGGAGGGAGATAAGGGTAGAAGGGATACAGGACCTATATCTCCAGCAGTCTGGCATACTGTACTTTGGAGCGTGGAGTTTTTCTGGTATATATTAATCAGCTTAAAGTAATTGAAAAGATCTAAGCCAGGAGAGTGAAAGGATGGAGGTTAGTTAGCGCTCTCTGATTGCAATCTGGAGTTTGGATTGCAGAGGAGTAAAATTGGAAGTACAAGTACTAACTAGTTAGGAAGTTTTAAAGGAGTCCAGGAGTCAGTTTTTTTCTTTTTTTTTGGAGACACAGTCTCACTTTGTTACCCAGGCCGGAGTGCCATGGTACAACCTCAGGTCACTGCAACCTCCTCCTCCTGGTTCAAGCAATTCTCCTGCCTTAGCCTCCTTAGTAGCTGGGACCACAGGCATGTGCCACTATGCTGGACTAATTTTTGTACTTTTAGTAGAGATGGGGTTTCACCATGTTGACCGGGCTGGTCTTGAACTCCTGACCTTAGGTGATCTGCCTGCCTTGACCTCCCAAAGCACTGGAATTACAGATGTGAGCCACCACGCCCAGCCCAGGAGTGAGTTTTAATTTAGTAAACTTGTTTAGCCGAACTGTGGTGATGAGCTAATGAATGAAAAAGCACGACAGTGGTGGAACTGTGGGGAACATGTCAATTGAAAGGTATTTTAAGGAAGCAGACACTGGGAAAAATAGAAAAATAAGTTGGTTAAAAATAAGGTATTATAGGAACTGAGGAAATAAAGAATTTCATGAAGGAGTAGGTGTCAGTAATGTCCAAGACCAGAAGTCACATAAGATACTGACTGGCTTTGGGAATTTGGAGGTCACTTAGCTGTAGCAGTTTGGGATAGAGGAATATTTCCATTGGAATGATAATTTCCATCCTGTCTTAGCCACTTATTTATTCTGTGACTTAGGAAAACCCTTTTACCTTTGACTCATTGTCTGTAAAGAGGAGGTTGGCCTCTTTAGTGGGGTTTGGTCTATGATCTGTGGAGCTCCAGGGGTTCATAAAAGGTACCTTGAGGCCCATCAAGAAATCAAGGATAAGGCCAGATATTTGTTGGAAAGGGAGGGATACAAGTCTACCCCTGCTTCAAACAAAGCAGCAAGAGCAGCTGGATTTTTATCTGTTTTGTATATTTGACTTTAACGTATGATTTCATTGAAAGAAACAGTGTAGTATAAGAAATTTGACAACTACTGGCCTACAGGAGCCTTAAGTACTTTCAAGCTTTAAAAGCTATATTATTAATAGCTGGTGTTGAAGGGTCCTATAATAGATGAATATCATGATAGTTGCTAACTTGTTGATGATTTGGATTTTATTCAGAGGTCAACATTAATTTCTGAGTTTATATAATGGTAACTGCTCTGATTAGGAATGAAAATGTAACTTCTAAACAACGGTATTGTACTGTGTATTTTGTTAAAAAAAAAATAAAACAACTTTTTATGTGTCTTACCAGGTTCTGACTCAGAAGATCTTTTGGAAGAATTGCTGTGCTGTCTGATGCAGCTAATTACTGATATTCCACTCTTGTAAGTCTGGCTAGGCCAGGAGTTGTTTTATCTTCTTTGTATGTGGCAGATAAGCATTGGTTATGTTGAGGAGTTTGTGGGTCCTGGTGTCGTACTTGTATGTGTGCCTTTTAAGGATTTTATATCCATGGAGTTCTTTTCTCTCTGCCTAATATTTAGACAGACTATTCATTGTCAAAACAAAAATGCTATATTGTTGGAGAAAACAGTGAAACTATATTAAGAATATGGTAGGCACAGAATTAGTCTCTGTAATAGATCTTATAGATCTTTGGAAACAAGAGTTTAAGAGAGAAGCAATTTCAATCTACTTCATACTGTGGTAGACACAGCGAGTTGAGGTCTCCTTATCTTCCTGACTTCTTGATTGTATTTCCAGCCTCTTTTGGTGAGGCCAGATTTTTCATTTCCAGCCTTCTTTGAAGCAAGGCATAGTCAGTGAAATGTAGAGGAAGGTCCTTTAATGAGACCTCTGGGTAAAGCTCTCTAAAAGGAACTGACTCAGTCAGCTAGGAGGCATATCTTTTTGATCTTGACAGCCCTTTTTCCTGCTGTCTGGAATGTGGACAGTCTTTTGAGTTGCATAGCCTTCTTGGCACTGTGAACCAAGAGATTCACAGAAAATTCTGCTTTGATGTCATTGAGCTGCTGAACCAAAGCCAGCAACTACCAGTATACTCTTTTTCACCCTGGACTTCTCATGTGACAGAAATAGACCCTTATTTGTTTACAGTGCTGTAACTGGGCTTCTGTCACTGTAGCTCAATGTAATTCCTATATGATTTGAAATGTTCATCTCATTTGTTACCTTTTAAAATTTAAAGTAGAGACGGGGTGTTGCTGTGTAAGCCAGGTTGGTCTCAAACTTTCAGCCTCAAGTGATCCTCCCACCTCAGCCTCCAAAAGTGCTGGGATTATAGATGTGAGCCACTGTGCCTGGCCTCATTTGTTATTTTAAAGCAGTGATTCTCAACCTTTAAAAAAAATTATTGGCCAGGTGCAGTGTCTCATGCCTGTAATCCCAGCACTTTGGGAGCCCAAGGCAGGTGTATATCTTGGATACAGGAATTGGACACCAGCCTAGGCAATGTAGTGAGACCTTGTCTGTACTTAAAAAAAAAAAAAGTTATTGTCTCCCGGAGAACCCTTGTTTGACATTTCTTTCATAATTGCCTCTCCACCTTGATGAAATTTGAATCCCCAGACATACTGTCTGCTTATGTCCTGCAGCCCTTTGGAGGACCACAAACTATTATTATTGTACTAGGAAGATTTTTACTTACCTCTGTAGAACTAGTTTACATCTCTTGTTGAAAATGCATATGTACTAGGAATTATTTTTGAAATGAAGAAGTATATTTTAATCTTACTCATCACAGAATCTCAGTCTACATGGGGATATAATTGGAAATGTGCTATTTGTCTATGTCCCCAAAAGGAAAGACAAGTATTTGTGAGAAAATGGGCTCCAAGCTGCTGTTGTACATGAATGCAGCATCTAGAATTTTAATATAGATTTAGAGGTGAGAACCACCAATCCCTGTTGTGATTTGGTCTGGTGGTATGCAGCCAGGAAGGTAGGACTGAGACAAATGAAGAGTCATCTCCTAGAGAAGGAAATGGGACAATTTCCCATTTAACCGGAGCTCCTGCAGCACACACAGGCATGCCATACTTTCTCCCCTTTCGTTATAACAGAACTCCAATATTGTTTAGAGTGACGTTGGCATTGTGTGCCCAGATTAGTTTTTCAGACACTTTGGCAGCTCCATGTGACCACGTGACCTAGTTTGGGTCAAGTATATGTGAGCAGAAATGATGAACTCAGAGCATATCCACTCTAGCCTTTTGCTCATTGCCCTCCCTTCCTTCCTGGAATGTGGAGGCAATACTTGGGCTGTCCTGAAACTATGTAAATGAGCATTGCATGCAAAGAATAGTGTCCTGGGAGCATGGGATATTGGTGACATTATGAAACTGTTACATTGGCCCTGGATCCCATATCTTTGGGTTTCTCCTTCATGAGAAAAATAGACACCTATCTTGCTTAGGCCACTATGGTTTCTTTTGCATATGGTCTGATCAGGGAAGGTAAACACATATACTGTGTACTGTTTCTTTGTCATGGTATGTGGAGTGCTTCATGTGTTCCTGATGTAATTTTAAAAGTAGCACCACCTCTAATTTTTATTTTTTGAGATGAAGTCTTGTTTTGTTACCCAGGCTAGAGTGCAGTGGCATGATCTCAGCTCACTGCAACCTCCGCCTCCTAGGTTCAAGCGATTCTCCTGCCTCAGTCTCCTGAGTAGCTGGGATTACAGACAAGTGCCACCACATGCAACTAATTTTTGTATATTTAGTATTGATGGGGTTTCACCATGTTGGCCAGGCTGGTCTCAAACTCCTGACTCATGTGATCCGTCTACCTCAGCCTCCCAAAGTACTGGGCTTATAGGTGTGAGCCATCTCACCTTGCCCTAAATATTTATTTATTTATTTTTTTATAACACAGGACCAGCAATGTAGTATATATCCTAAATGAGTATATATATTTTTCCCCTTTGTTGATAAAATGTTTTAGTGACATTTAGGGGAATGGAAACCGTAAATGCCTTTAGATAGTAAATCGACTCTGAACAATGAATAGAGCAGCCATTTAAACACTCTTGAGGAGCAAGCCGATTGTGTTGTAATATATCAAACATTTCAGTATTTTAATGTGTTTATACCTTTTAAATTAACTGACAATGCACAGCTAGCCAGTTGTCTTGTATTATGTACCCTCAGCTTTAACCAGCTGCTGAAACAATTTCTGATGATTTAATGTTCTTGGAACTTCATCCTGCAAGAAGGTTTGTCTTGGTAACGGTTTCCATGTGAAGCCAAACTACTCTTTAAATGTTTCGTCTCTTCTAACTGTAGTGCAGCATTATGGATCAGTGTATAATTTAAGAGGAAATAGGAATATATGCAAACCAGGAATGCTCTGACACCTGAACATCATCAGTAGTGCTGTAAAGGTTTCACATTTCACATTATTAATTAATTCTGTGCTGCATTAGCAGGTGAATAACAAGATGAAACTAATTTTAATGGCCACTGAGGGAAATTCAAAACTAGCTTAAATGTTTCTTATGAGACTGTTAAAATCATTCTATTAATATTGAGTGCAAAGAGGTTACCACAAACACATATACATACATACATATGTATGTGTATACTATGTATTTATTTAGACATCTGTAAACTAAAATGTAAATGATACCTTGTTATAAAGAGAATAGGATCAATGGCAGTTTTGAAATAAGCTCCCAGAAGTTCATCACAGTGAACTTTGTAGGAGTTCATTTGTAATGAAGATTGACTTTTATGTAGTTATTGGCTACTGTTTCTTAAACACTTTGGATTTCTTGGTAAAATACTCACTCACTCATTAGTACTAAACTTCATTAAAATTGTTCACCTTTCAGGAATCCTTCCTTAACTCCATACCTCTCAGCATTTATATATTTAAGATAAAGGTTAAGTCATACATGGGCTTGACATTTTTCACTGTATATTGGATCAATCTCACTAGAATTTAAATAAATCTGCTATAAGCAAAACCTTGCCTTTGCTTTTTATACCTTCTCTATGTCTCGGTGAAGTAAACAGGAAAGTAAAAATGGTATTTTCCTCAAGACACTAATATGGAGTATAACAGAAAGAGCGTAGGTAGGTAAGCCAGAGGTAAAAGCCTAGCGCTTGGAATTTGTGACACTGTCTGGGTTCTTGTGTTGTTACTATAAGGGCTAAATGAGACCTGTGGGAACCAACCAAGTGGTGGAGTCAGATGGGGCCATAGCAGCAGAAGCAGTGATGTTTTATAGACCCATTCTTATATTTCGGGGACTACTTATGATGCTGTTTTGTTAAGAAATAGGAGTTATTTTGAGGACTCAAATTAGATTTTTTCCCTTGTCTTTTTGTCTGTTTTTGTTGCTGTCATTTTTCAGCAGAGCTGTGACTGTTAGCTGTGCATGATGATGTCAGTGTCAAGCACAGGCCCCACCCCTTCTCGCTAGTGCCACCACTCTGGGCAGGCCTACTCAGAGTAGGCCTCTTTCTATTGGCCTCAGGTCCAAAATACAGCCTCTTTCTCTGAGATCCATTTCTGTGGTCGTCTTTCTTATGAACCTGTGAACTTGTTGAGAACTGTTTAATTTTTAGCCTGGCACTGATTTGCAGATTTGTCAATTATAATTTAAGAAAATGTTTTCTAAGTTTTTAGGTATAGATTGATAAAGATGAGATTCTCATAGTTAATTGCTTTCACTGCCTTTTTCAGGGAGTGTATATCTATTTGTGTAGTGTGGCCTGTCAAGTACAGGGGATATCTGATGTCATCTGCCAACCCTCACTGGTAGTCTTGCTAATGTGAAGTGTGCCAGTCCATGCTGTGTCTAGGGCCTTTGCCGCCTTTCCTTCTGCAGTCTGTCTTCCTTTAGATATTTGCATGGTGCTCACATTCTGACCACCTTCAAGCTTTCATCTGCTTCAAATGTTGTTTCTTTAGAAATGCCACCTTGACTACCCTGTAGAGCACCTCTGACCATCTGAAAATAGCTCCCCTCTCATTCTCTGTCCTTTTTTTATGTTTTATTTATTTATTTGAGATAGGATCCCACTCTGTCACCCAGCCTGGAGTGCAGTAGCATGATGAAGGCTCACTATAGCCTCAACTGTCCGGGCTCAAGTAATTCTCCCACCTCAGCCTCCTGAGTATCTGGGGCCACAGGTATGTGCCACCATGCTTGGCTAATTTTTAAAATTATTTGTAGAGATGAGATCTTTCTGTGTTGCCCAGGCTGGTCTGAACTTCTGTGTTCAAGCAACCTTCCTGCCTGGGCCTCCCAGAGTGCTGGGATTACAGGCAAGAGCCACCATGCCCAACCTGTTTTTTTGTCTTAATACTTTTCACTACTCTTCATATTATCTGTTCCCTCTCTTGCTCATATATT